CCTTGCTGGGCAGCCCAAGGCAAGCCCGTCCTGTTCTGCTCCAGGTGCTGTCACCAGTAAAGGTGCTCTGTGTTTGGGTAGAAGATTAACACCCTGTCTGAACACCCACACCACTCGCCATCCAGCTCTGGGTCCTGCCAAGGCAGCTGGTGTGCTCGGGGCTGGCTGCCTGCCTGCCTGGCAGCTTTCCTGGAAGGGGGGAGTAAAGGTCTGAACCACCTCGCATCTAGTGGACCTCGTATTTACGAGGCGATTCTTGCAGTTCAGAATTACCATAAAGACAACGCTGCTCTGCTCTCTCCATCCTTTAAGTAAAACACAGATATGTCTGCGCTTCTTAGGAGTCCTTGTTTCGAATGTCAAATTTATTCCTCCAGCTAAGAAACACGTCAGAGGATTTGGGAGCGCGTAGTTCTAGATTACAAATCACAGAAAGCTATTTTTAAAGAGGTTTCATACCATACCCACCTAACTGTTCAGGTGGCCAGTCTGAACTGAATCTGGGAAACCATTTGGGTTAATAAAAACACCTCTTGTTGGTTTAAGTTTTTTGGTAACGTTCATTTCAGTTGAGAACAAAGGCAGAAAAGGCTGCAGTTCCTTAGTATACAACCGAGAGCTACCTGAACCGTACCGTGAAATGGTAAGGCCGAGAGCTACATAGATTAGAGCTGCCCCATCCTTGTGGGAACAGACACCTCCCCTCTTTCTTAGCACTTACTGCTGCACGAAGTAAACATGAAACACAGTAGGAACTTTCTCCTTATTTCCCCCGATCCCCCGAGATGTTTACTTCACCTTAGAGGCTGTCAGAATACATCCATTCATGCAGATTATGTAGGCAGCTGACATTTCGTTTGCTTTACAGCAGTGTGACTACACCGTTTTTCTCCACCTTCCAAATGAATTTTCTTGCAGATCACTTGAAAACGCTCCTGGCAGTCAAAGCCCGATGCTCGTAAACCGAAATGAAAGGGCTGACTCCGGGTGACTGCGATAGCATCATCTCTGTTGCAGTAACAGAAAATGAAACCATCTGCTACTGCATGTTAAAATACACAGACTGTGCCGGAGAGAGCACGTTTGGGGCAGAACTTCCCAAGGTTTGGGAGGACACAGAAGCTGCGTCTCCATGAGGGCCCTTAGGAAAACAGATGACTTCAGCATGTGGATTTGGCATGGCGACGGTCTAAATCGTTGGGCCACAGCTCATCAGGCACAAGCGGTGCCAGCAGTTGGACCGGGATGGAAGAACCTCTCCAGCTCCATAAATGTTTGCGTGATCCCGCGTGTCTGTTTCACCTTACTTCACATTCCTGACATAGCACAGGCTGAGAGAGCAGGAGACACAAAGCCAAGGAAAAGCACTTTGCCTCCTTAGCTGCCAGGTACCGCGCGTCAGCAGCGTGAAACCAAAGCCCAGAGAGAACCAAATCCTCGCAAACGTCTCTTGCAGATGCTTCTGTAACACCACAGGGTGGCAAACAGCTCATCTCCCCGATCTAAAATGAATGCATATAATGAATTCAGTGTTGGGTCTTAAGCTGTAGGAAACTTGCTATACCTTCCCACACATATATTGACACCTCCTTACTTCACTCATCCCCACCAACAGCCCTTGAACCAGCTTCCATGGATTTTAACTATCGTCTCTAAATTGCTGTTGGAAAAAAGGTGGTAAAGCAAAGGAAGGAGCAATTACCAGTATAGTAAAGGTGAGAAAAAAAACCCCAAAACTAGATCAGTTACAGAAATAATCCTTGGGAGGGAAACTCCAGGTAATACATCAAGAGCCAGGTGACAGAAGGTACCTCCTGTAATGAGCAATAACCGATGTTACAGTTACATTTCCAAACTAATTCTGAATTGCTTCCAGCATGGTGATGCTTATTTGAAATTATACAATAATAATAGTTTTTAAAAGCAATCTGACATCATTTAGCCACTTTGAGCTTCAGCAGTTACTCACTCACAGTCAGCAGGAGCTCCCGTGGGGTTTGTTCTCCAACCCAACAAGGTCTTGGAGAAGAGGCTTCCCTGCAGCTCATAACTGTTCAACTTCTCAGGACTTTCAGCCTCCTCAACGCTCCCACCCAGCTGAGCTGCACAGCAACAGAGTAAGCAAAATGCACTGCATGGCACCATTCCTCTCAATCATCTTCTACGGCCAGCTCAGCTCTGCAGCACCTCATCACTTGCCCTTTAACCAGAAACGATTCCGCAGTCACAGCAGACCCTCCCTCACTTGGGGAGACAAGAGAAGAGCGGCAGGTCTTCCCCTGTAGATACTCCCCCTTCCAGAAACCTACACTAGATACCTTAGTACCACAGATTTTTGGCATAGAAACTTCAAGCATCATCCACTATAGCTAGCTGGTCAAACAGGGGGTTTTCTTTCCTCCCCAGGTACTTTCAACATTAAACCTGCTCCACCCTATCACTGCAACAAGGGCCATACCTCTCTGAGCAAGATTTTGCTGCTCAGCTTCAGCTTTGTAAACTGAGCCTTAGGCTTCTAACAAACTTCCCAGCTCCTATGTTGCTGTAGGGTCTAGTACACGACGAAAATGCCATTAAATCAGATCAGCCGCACCTACCTTCTGAACAAGATGCTCCCAACCCCTTCCTCCAGTTCGTTAGCTAACTTACCAACCTTTTTTCTTTTTTTTTTTTTTCTTTGCCTGCTTTATTGATGCTCCTGCTTTAATTTCCTCCGCTGCTCTCCACACCCATGCCAGGTGCATCAGATGCAGTAAGTGCCACCTGCAAGCTGTTTACACAGATGAGGTGGTAGTGGCAAGACTAAATTATTAAAGTCCCTTATAGGCTTCCCATTCTGGAACTGGCTAAGTCGAAGGTTTAAGACAGGAAGTGCTCTAATGTGATTTGGGTTTTTTTTTTTAAGATGCTTGAGAACCCTGAATCAAAAAAGACTGTTTTAATAGCTACAGTTCAAGCACATAAAGCAGTTCATGTTTAATTTAAAATCTTGGTTTGCCTTTACCAGGATTATTTGTTGATGTTTAATATTAAAAGAAACTTAAGATTACTTTTTTTATAATGATCTGCTCTTGATTTATTAGCATGTAAAGACCTTCAAATATTTTAAAGAAAAAACATAATAGTGATGCAAACTTAATCTTAGATGATGGAAATACAACAATTTATGGTTAAAAAACTAACCATTATTTCAAAATATCTGATACTTTCACGAGTGATTTTTTTTTTCTTCTCTGTCCATTTGAAAACAGACCTCTCAGTGCATATATTAAGATCATGATTTTTCTCAGCCGTGCTGCATTTTTTTAAACTAATGTTGCTTATGGTCTGTTCTCCGCTCCCATAAGGGCTACATACGCTGCTTCTATGAGAACTGGGTCTTCCTATGGCTTTTCAAAGGATTTACTGCTTGAGTATATGTTTAATCTTCTTAGAAAATGTCTCAAAATAAGAATAAAAGGCTGCAGTTTCTCTTTCTAAAAGCAATGGTGAACTGTTTGTATGTAGCAGGTATTTTCAGACGGAGAGGTAGAATGGTTCCACAGAAGTGAGCTACAACGTGCTGATTTTAATAAGGCATGGAACACGAAAGAAGAAGGTCGTGATGCTGTCTAGCCAGCAGGCATTTTCCTGTTAATTTTAAAGACCACAGGAGCAGATTATAAGGCTGTGTTTTAAAATTAAACGTCAAAAAAAGACAGAAAAATACCAGTTGGTACTTAAAAAATGATTTCAAGAATGCTTTCCATTTTTTTCTTTCCCTGCAGAGGAAAATCAATTTTCAATAAAATCCGGGTAGTTCTGTGCTGTCTGTAGCAAGTGGATGCTTGCCCCCTTCACTGTGTAGCTGATGATTAGGTTAGCAAGCGGCGTTGTATATTGTAGGCATCCAGTCAGTAGCAGGAAAGTGCCGGAACACAGATTACAAACAATAAGCAAGACTTTCAAAATGTGTGAGTATTTTAAAAAATTTTATTTTATTTGTAATGAAAAAAATGAGTTCTGCTCAAATTTATACAGTCAGTGAAATAATCCTATAAAATGATTTTTCTAGGACGTTACAAGGCACATAAATTACCAAATACAAACAAAGAAAAGTAGCCAAAATAATGAACTAAGCCCCAATATGCCTTCAGCTATTTGAGAGGTGTGTGAATGATTTACAAGAACGTGAATCACTCTACCGACAGGGTCATGAATATTTCACATTTGGCATGACGAGCACAATTAAAAAAAAGGGGAAGGAGAAGCTCGGGTTCAAGCCCAGCGTAGTGTTTAGGGGAGGGAGCAGCACGGTCTGACGCTGCTCCTGGGGTCACGGGGCTGGGCCTCTTGGGGCGCTTCCCGTCGCGGGTTGCAGGGCGTCCCCCCACTAGCCCCTCGCCATTGTCTGCCGGAGGAAGGGGCAACCTCGCAGCTGGGGGGGGTGTTTCTCTGGCCTTTATTTTTTTGTAAAGTAATCTCTTTGGGAGGTCGTTTGACATGCGAGAAGTCTTTATGTTCTACTGGTTAAGAAAATCTTGCAACCCATAAAAATAGCCAATTTTATTTCAATTCAAGAGGCATTACGAAAAGAATTCCACAAATACGCATTTTCCACCTGCATATATATTTTCCAACTAACCTAACAGTCAAGGATTCAATGTAATAAGATTTTCATACAAATATATTGTATTGTGTATTTTCTTCCATTAACAGGATCCACTCCTTTATGTATCTCTAAGTATACATTCACATATTAAAGAGTAATAATTTGGCTAAAAATATATGTCTATTTCTTATCTGATTGTAGCAAGTAGCCTATCAAGGGTAATTTGCTATAAAAGATACAGTACTAGAAATAAATAGTTCTACAATTCAAAGATCTTCAAAATGGGTTGCCATTTCCAGTCTGTCTTAAATTTTCCAAAGTCCTTTTAAAGCATAAACTAAATTTACTACACTTGAGAAAATAATTTGGACCTAAGTACATAGAGTCCCAATGGCACGAGAAGCTTATTTCACTTAATCTCCTTCTTGGTTTTGTAATGGGCAGAAACAACCAGATAATTGTCTGGATTCATGTCCCTGAGGGTTGGAGACTTGCTCTGGATCGGAGAAGTTTTCCCATCCACACGGGAGATCTGCAGCATTCGGCACGGGTCATGCTTCAGTAAGTAACCTGCGAAAGTCTCCCAGCCTCCTCCGACACGAACCATCACGTGTTTGTTGTGCAGCATCTGAAATTACATATAGAGGGGAAAAAAACCAAAAGCTTTTGAGAGGGAACCATTCGCTGGGAAATCACATTTTTTCTCCTGGAAAAAGCTGTGCTTACTTTAATTAAAAGACACAGACATATGTCAGTAGTCTGCTTTGTAATAAAGGGAAAGGAAATAGTAGAATGGTTTTTATTTTAATTTAATAAGTAAATTTTTAAAAATGTAAGAAAACGAGATTGTAATTAAAACTAAAGATTTTCATATTTGATGTAACCAATGCTACATGCTTTTCTAGTTCTGTAGCACCGAGTGATCCTCTTCTTCATGTGTTTGGTATAAACACATTAAGGAACAGCAATGTTTGTCAGATTAATTTTTTGAAAATATATGAGTAAAGATACCATTTTATATGTCTTGAAACTTGCCTTTTTTTATAGGATGGGGATCTACATAAAAGGAAGAATGAAGGGCAAAGAACCAAAACAATCTCCTCTATCTCCTAAAATATTAGTTATTCAAGAAAATGAAGTACCTTTTAGTTTTACAATTTAGTGTTGCTGACACACAGTCTAACTGAAATAGTCTAATGATGTAATTAAATTAGTGTAATGAGGGACATCAGAAATGATACATGTGGAACTGTTTGGAGATACCTGAATGTATGCCTTTGACACGGTCCCCCACAACATCCTTCTCTCTAAACTGGAGAGCCATGGATTTGATGGGTGGACCGTTTGGTGGATAAGGAATTGGTTGGATGGTCGCAGCCAAAGGGTAGTGGTCAACGGCTCAATGTCCAGATGGAGACCAGTGATGAGTGGAGTCCCTCAGGGGTCCGTACTGGGACCGGTGCTGTTCAATATATTTATCAATGACATGGACAGCAACATCAAGTGTACCCTCAGCAAGTTTGCAGATGACACCAAGCTGAGTGGTATGGTTGAGACACCAGAAGGACGGGATGCCATCGAGAGGGAGCTGGACAAGCTGGAGAGGTGGGCCTGTGTGAACCTCATGGGGTTCAACAAGGCCAAGTGCAAGGTCCGGAGAAGCGTGGCCAGCAGGTCGAGAGAGGTGATTCTGCCCCTCTACTCTGCTCTGGTGAGACCTCACCTGGAGTACTGCGTTCAGCTCTGGAGCCCTCAGCACAAGAAGGACATGGAACTGTTGGAGCGGGTCCAAAGGAGGGCTACAAAAATGATCCGAGGGCTGGAGCACCTCTCCTATGAGGACAGGCTGAGAGAGTTGGGCTTGTTCAGCCTGGAGAAGAGAAGGCTGCGGGGAGACCTGATTGCAGCCTTTCAGTACTTCAAGGGAGCCTATAGGAAAGATGGGGACAATCTGTTTAGTAGAGACAGCAGTGACAGGACGAGGGGTAATGGTTTTAAACTAAAACAGGGTAGGTTTAGGCTGGATATAAGGAAGAAATTCTTTACAATGAGGGTGGTGAAACACTGGAACGGGTTGCCCAGAGAGGTAGTGGAGGCCCCATCCCTGGAAACATTCAAGACCAGGTTGGACAGGGGGCTCTGAGCAACCTGATCTAGTTAGCGGTGTCCCTGCTCGCTGCAGGGGGGTTGGACTAGATGACCTCTAGGGGTTCCTTCCGACCCAAAACTTTCTATGATTCTATGATTCTATGCTGAGCAGTGAAAGAAAATACAAGAAAAGTCCCCAGGCTCTTACTAGCAGGAAAGCTGGGCATTGCTGACGCTGGCTGTCGTTATTCCAGAAACACTGGGCCTTGACCTGCAAAGCAGTTTTGGGCCGGGAGGGTATCTAACTGCTCAGTCAGGTGCCTGTCTCTAATGTGTGTCCTCATGATCCACGCTCGTCTTCTGCCTAGACTCAAATCACATTTTTCACCAAGTACCAGTGTAACTTCCTCCATCATTCAGTTGGCGATTTCACTAATTTCTCTCCTCTGGTTCTCTGTGCAGAGCAGTCAAATAAATACCAGTGCAGTCTCGTAAAGCAGCATCTTCTGTAGAAGCCACATCATAAATCACACATTGAGAAATGCTTTGGTTAGTACCTCTCACGAAATGCTACACATCACTTAGCCATAGCACCAGAAATTAAAAACTGGCCCTGTTAAAGACATGCTAGAAGATGTTTAACATGGTCTGGGTAATGACATTTGGATTTATGGCCATGATGGGTATATGGGCTCTTTTACACATCCAAAGCTCTGTCGAGGGCTGACGGTATTTGCAGTTGAGACTTACGTGGCACATAAGCCTTTTGTAACGGAGCGCAATTCAGATTAGTACACATAGCATAGACAACAACACAAGAAAAATTCTCAATCAAACAAAATCACAGGTAATAAATGGCAAAAATGTAACTCCTAAGAAAACCCCCAATGAACAAACACCCCGCTTCAGCCTAAAATGTGTTGTTTGATTTCTGCTACATGAGGAGACGGATGCACCAGGAGTGAAGAAAGCATGGAGAGCCGTACAACTTTCTGAAGTTTGAAAATCAGGGTAAGTCTATAAGGAATCAAACTCTACAGATGAATAAGAAGCTGCAGATGAAATCTTGTTCCAAATTTTTCATTTAAAACATTTTAATGCAAGGGAAATAGTTGTTCTTAGTTCTGCATGTTGGTTTTTATGTGAAACACAGTGAGAAGTCAATTCAGCTTTACCGATACTGAAAAACAAAGTTACTTCTGATCCATCCCGAGAGCACGCTGAAGTACTCTTAGTTTAATTAACAACTCCCAGCTACTGAGACTGTGCTGTTGCTCTGGGTTGTAGGAGCGTTCACCTCTGCAATAGCTATACACAAGTGAGGTTTTTCTCTAGATGTACATGGATATGAGAGCAGAATCAGCCTCACATCTTCACCAATCCCACTTTTTCCTCTCCAGCTTTGTATTTTAGTTTCAAGACTTCATTTTGAACCGGCAGTGGTATCATCAGCCTTCAGCGGTACCAGATTTGAAGCGAGTCTTTAGTCTGGACAATATAATGAAAGCAGCAAATGGTTTTTACGTCCAGTCTGAGAACTGCAGTTCAAATGGTGACCCAGTCTTGAGACAAAAGAGTCTACAGAATTTTATTTAGCAACTTTTTCCTCCTTGAACTTCTAAAAAGCATTTGCGAAATGCCCCAACACCTTTTCACATAAAAGCATTTTAAGTCCAACTTTGGTCCACTGCAACTCGTGACGCTGCAGTGGGAAGGAGTTAACTGCCGCTGGGTTTCAGCGTCCACATGTTCTCACGGGGGGCTCACGTTCCAAGAGCAGCTAGTATCTGGGCTTTTGATGAAGAGTTCGGAATGGAAAGTTAGCAAAAAGTATTTTTGGTTTCATTCCCCTTAGGGACTACTGTGCGGACAAATAAAACCTGGTATGTTATTTCCTGATGCTCAAGCTAAATGTACATGTTCTGTCTTTCCTCTCTTTTTTCTTTCTCTTTGTATTATTATACAATTATAAAATTGGTGAATGCTTGCTTTCTACAGGGACTGGGTTTTCCTGCATCCTAAATATGGTCATTGTTCATGCTGCGCTGTGCCACAAAAGCACTGTTTTACTCCTATGGCCATATTTTGATTTTAGTAACACCAGCACAAATCCAGAATAATTCTGCTAGCTTCAGAATTTCTCCAGGTTCACAGAAGTATAAAAGATTTCTCAGAAAAAAAAAAAAAAGAAAGAATAAAATAACTTGCTGTACTTTCTAACAGAAAAAGCAGTTTCCTCCCCAACATACTTCAGCTGAAGATGACACTTTTGAGATTTTTATGATCCAGCCAATTCAGCTTTTCCATTGCATGTGATCTCTGAGAAAGAAGTTGGACTCTATGATAATCAAGTTTATCAGTAGTTATCAGTGTAAGTAAATTCATGTCATCCATCTATTTTCACACTGCTATCCAGCCAATTGAAACTGAGAAAACCCTTTCTTTAAAATAAAATCCAACATATGTTTACGATTGCTGTAAATCTTCATTATTTCTGTTGCGTCGGAAGCCGGGCTGTCACTTGAGCTGTTCCCCCTAGAATCTGGGTTTAGGTTAGAATGGTTGAATCTATGGTGAAGCAAAAATATGAGAAACCAGACGACAGCATCACAGAGGAGGAATTATAGATTGCTTTGGTATGCATTAAGGCCGTATCAAGAGATAACATGAAAAACAGTCAATGAAATTTAGGTGAACTAAGCTATCATTGCATAGGACTTTGGCATCAAAGTGTAAAATAGTCAAACAGTTCTGGGTTTCACATGAATAAGTTTGGAGAGCTTTATGGCTTATTAAAGAGATATTAGGCAGTATATAAAGATATTAAGCTCATGTAAATGAGCACAGTTTTAATGACCTGAAAAAATCTGTTCTGTTTTATAGGAACTGAAAATCTGGCCCAATATTGTTATTCTTCAGACTATATTATAACTTTCTTAAAGAATATTTCATGGAGAGGAGGGAAAGCGGGGGGAGGAATTACACAGTACAGATCTGATCCAAGTACTGCAAAAGCCAGCGGAAAGAATCCTACTGACTCGAAAGGAACTCAGGCTAGGCTCTGGAAGCCAAATGCAGCAACCTAAAGCAAACCATAGCCTGGAATTTGCTGGTGTGATTTTAGGATAACTTTAGAAACAATATGGGCTACATAGTGAGAGAATATTGACTATAAAATCCAAAGGTGCTTGACAAAATAACACAGTGCACCACTCCAGTGGCTGTGCAAAGAAAATGTTGCATTCCAAAAGTGAAATGTTAACGAGATTGGGAAAGAGAAGAATTTAATACCTATCAATTATTTTTTACTGAATATGAGCCCCTTAGGCTCAGTGTCATCAGAAGATATAACCCTTGCTCCTCATACCTTAGCATTTGGGGACCTTCCCTGAGAGGTGTTCAGCCCATGAAATGGGCTTCTAGATCAATGTATTTTCACGCTGACCCCAGAGATATCACAGGTCAACACTAAGGAAATCCCAGTGTTGTTAAGACTTATCCAGTTACTGCGTCAGACCACTACCCATAGCGAGCTGGGAC